ATTTTTTATTTTTCTTCTTTTTAGTACCTCATTCTATAATTATAAACTAAAAGATGATATACTTATAAAATATGATAAATTAAAACATAATAATTATTAAATTTATATGAAAATTTTATGTATTCTAAACACTTATAATAAGATGAATTTGAGGGAGAAATGTGTGGATGAATTTGAACATAAAGTTATATTATTTCTTTTAAATGATTCTGAATATGAATGAATTTAAAGAAAAAAATTGTGAGTAATTTAAATGTGATAAATGAGTAGAAATTCATCCCTCCCAATCTTTCCAAAACAGCAAACCCTTTAAAACGGGATGAGTTGCTTTGAAGAAAAAGGTGTACGAGGAAACAGTGTGAATGGAATGGATTGTATAAACTTTTATGGCGTAAATTTAAAGAGTTTTACTGCTTAAGATTGTATCATGTCTCTAAATACAAAAGGGGATTGGGATCCAACCAAACACCCACTTTTGGGTGGACACTGACGTTATCCGTTATCCAATAATACGCCTCTGTAAACCTAAATAAATACAGTTTTATGTTCAGACACAAACAGTCTGAAACATCCATCAAGAAATTATTTATTATGAAGTTTAATTATATAAAAAGAAGCATCCATCGAGAAACTTTATACAATATGTTATACGTTCAAACTTTACATTCATTATATATATAAATAGCAGTATAATTTAGTTGACAATTTTGACTAAAATGAGTGAGCAGTGCAGCTATTTCAAGCATGTTATGTTAGCATCATCTATCTGCCATGCACGCTTGTTACAGTGACACTGTTGATGGAATTTGATTCGTGACTCCGCTGAGACGATTCTCCTTCTAACTCGGTGTGTCTTTGGATGAACGCTGGTTGTCGAGGAGGAGGAAAATTAACAATCTCACTGTTTAGCATTGACAACACAATGGCCATAGTAGGCCTCTCCTTCGCTAATTCTTGCACACAAAGAAGTCCAATGTGTATGCATCTCAATACGTGTTCAACATTCTCTGGATTAAATATTTCTGGATCAATCAGAGATTCAATCTCCCCTTCGTTCCATAGTTTCCATGCCTTAACAAGCAAAACACAAATAAATTCTACCATTGTTTTTTGTTGTAAATAGTGCCAAAAGAAACAACCAAACAAAAGGCTTACATATCCTAAGAGGCTCAGTGACTCCTCTTCGTTTCCAAAACTTGAATTTTTTCTGCCACTAACGATCTCTAACAGAAAAACTCCATAACTAAACACATCTGATTTCTCTGAAAATAGTCCTTGCATCGCATATTCAGGAGACATGTAGCCACTGTATTTTAATTTCAAAATGAAGTTAGCAGTTATTTATGGCAAAATATGACTTTGAATGAAAAGAAGGAACACTCACTATGTTCCAACAACCCTTCTAGTATTGGCCTCATCTTCGCTGCCCCCAAAGATTTTGGCCATTCCAAAATCTGATATTTTTGGATTCAGGGCTGCATCCAACAGGATATTACTTGGCTTCAGGTCTCTGTGTATTATCCTCAGTCTAGAATCTCTATGGAGATAAAGCAAACCTCTTGAGACTCCTTCAATTATATTAAATCTTTTCTGCCAATCTAAAACTGACTTTTTGGCTGGATCTGCAGAAACAATAGAAAGTGAGGTAATCTTCAGGAAGCAAAATCATTTTTTTCATATTTGTCGAAATAAAGGTGGACTAACCAAACAGATAAAAGTCCAAACTCTTATTCGGCATGTACTCAAATATCAACATCCTCTCCCCTCCTTCAATACAGCAACCTAGGAGTCTTACAAGATTACGGTGTTGAAGTTTTGAAATTACTGTCACTTCATTTATAAATTCTTCTGTCCCCTGCCTAGATGCTCTTGAAAGTCGTTTTACTGCTACTTTTTGCCCATTTTTTAATTCTCCCTAGAAGAAAATGTTAAGGAAAACTTCAGATTGCACATAGTATTGATAAAATCAAACGTCACATGACAGTTACCTCGTACACCGAACCAAAACCACCTTCGCCTAGCTTATTAGCTAAATTGAAGTGATTTGTTGAAGTTGCAATGTTTTCAAAATTAAATACTGGCACGTCCTGGATTTTAACTTGTTCCAGCTCTCCACTCAAACCTGCAATTCTTTTTTCTGGATGGTTTTCCCTTATGCTCAGCACCAATGATGGTGATCTTTCCGTTCTTGCTGATATCAGGGACACCAACCAAAATCAACACAATGAATTGACGGAGGAAAGAAAAGGGACAATAACTGAACAAGCAAACATACCAGAACGCTTAGAAGTCCATCTCCATAAAAAATATACACAAGTAGCAAAAAGAAATGCTCCCACTATCACTGTAACTACAATGATTGATGTCATGTTTCTCCCCCCATCTGTATTGTTCAGCAATTAACACATCCACAATAGAATCTGGATATTAGACTAAAAATTGAATGAATTATTTATAAAGATCTGATTTTAAACAAATTAGAGAAACAAAACTTGTATGTACTTACTGAGTTCTGAAGGAGCTTGGCGGATGTAAAGATCGAGTCCTCCACTTGAGAACCTTACGATGTCAATTAACTCGCCCTTCCAAGACATACAGCCAATGCCAGCATCATATGCATATGCTGTACAGGAGCATTTGTTCAGGCACTCTGTTCTGCATGTATCAATAGAAACAGATGATTGGAGTGCAAAATCTGGCACCTTAGACATCTGCAATTTCTCAAACCCGTCTCCTGTGCTGGCTTCACTCCTCTCGCACTTGAGTGCTTCCTTTCTCACACATCCACTTGTCCAGTTTTGCGTATCCCATTCCTCGCGGTTTTTCGGCTCAAACCCTCTCAAACAGCTGCATATTGGCACCTTATCGGGATCACAACTTCCATAAGCGCCGCAGAAGCCATAAATATCACAGTTACTGTAGTAAATGACCCGCTTCCCAACTTGACGTCTGTTCATCCAGGAGCTGTAAACTAGCCTGCCTTCTGAACTCAAGGCCATGGTTCCAAAGAAAGAATGATTTGGCAAACTATAGACCATACTGACAGTTCCATCATCTTCCCTTGCTAAACTGAATCCATTCAGATATGCAGAAGTATACATCCTTGGCAAACCAATAAAAACCTGACCGTTCCATGGACCCGAGCGCCAATACGGCTGTGTTTGATTCCAGACAAACACTTCAGGAAGACTTAGACGTTCGAGGCTGGCGGAGAAGATTCCAACGGCCGGATCAGAAGGGTTTTTCCATGAAGTCTTTTTGTCTTTCTTCCCCGTCACTTGGTTGCTGCTGATTATCATGTTTGGCAGGAATGTGTCAGTGGGTTGTTTGAAACTCTCCCAAATTGTCTTGCCTGTGAGGCTATCCAGCAAGACAATGTTTCCAGTATTTTGAAGTTGCACAGTTGTATTGGACTCAATATTTGAGACATTTGATGACCAAACAGCTTGCTTTTTTCCATTTAGTACTACAAGGTTTCTGTCATTGGATATGGTGACAACCCCTGAAGAATCCTCTAGCGGTCGGGCTCTGTTGGCCACCCATATGACATTGGATTCAGTGAGATACCAAACCCCTACATACCGATTTGTTGTGTTTGCAGGGCTGAAGAATCCTAGCTTGAATGCGCCGTCATTAGAGGTCAAGGTTTCAGGGTCTGACATCAATTGAGACACTGTAATGGTGTCTAAGCCAGCTCCAAAACTCATGTACAAGTTCGACAACAGAATGAGAAAAGCGGGTAACATGTTTCTTACGAATCGCATAACCTGTACCAATTGCCAGTGTATCATGCACTCTTGATATTCATGCACCATTTGTGAATAAATTTTAGACCTATAAGACAATTAGAGTTAACTAACTTTTAAACATACAGTATTTTGAATAATTTTAATGAATCTTATTTTATTTTTTTATTAAATGTAATTTGTGATGAAATTTAAGTCAAAATTTACATTTAAACTTTTGAATCTTTCTCATTATACGTTCTTTAACACTCATTATAAGTTCTTTAACTTTTTTATTTATAATTAATATGAAACTTAAATTCATTTAAATTCTCATTAAAAGAGAACTTTTGTCAAAAGAAGTAGCCTATATACTTACAAAAGCTTTAATTGCAAATAGTGTATTTAAAACGTAATTAAACTCTAAAAAGTAACAATTATTTACATTTTTAGGAAAAAAGTAAAAAGAAATATACCTAGTTGCAGTTACCTGGAATTTGGGTAATAGAAAGGTACTGTGAATGTGTATATGTATTTTGGTGTGATGATTGATGGAGCTAAATCGTTTTGAAGAAAAGTAAGTTTGGAGTTGGAATATATATATATATATATATATATATATTAAGAAGTCGTACCTCAAGATTCTGACCAGTAGTCCTCTTCCTTTGAGTGGATTTGAGGGAGTGAATTTGAGAGGATTTGAAAATAAATTTTTTTGTCGTTTATTTGAGTGAATTTGGAGGTAAATGAGAGTGAATTTGGAAATAAAATTTGTGAGAATTAATATAGAATTGTATTGACGTAACAAATTAAAAATATTAATTTCCAAATTTATTTTCATTTACCTCCAAATTCACTCAAATAAATGATAAAAAAATTTATCTTCAAATCTCCTCAAATCCACTCCTCATATCCACTCAAAAGAACGTAGGACTAACTGCTTACATTTAATGCTTCACTCACACACTCAAACACTGTATTTGAATTTGTCCCCACGGAAAAGCAAACCTCGCCATAGGAGGATCAATTTCTCCACTAAAGCTCAGTAACATATGGATTGACCAAAAGTTAATGGGAGCATTATCCCAAAGAAAAAGCAAACCTCACCATAGGAGGATCTACTTTCTCAACTAAATATTAGTAACATAAGCATAAGCATTGATCAAAAGTTAAATTCTGCAAATAAAATAATACTTTCTTTTAATCCAATTTCACCGTTGCATTAAAAAAAATGAAAATGAAAATGGAAATATAGACAAAAGCAGAAATCCAATGTGGTCAAAGTCTCATCTGGCAGTACGCCATTAATAATAGTATAAACTTTGAAGGACGACACAGGCAATGCTCACAAGTTACAACATTTGCATCAATTGGATGAATTACAGCCAATTTTCCCTTTTTTAACCATTTCTTCAACATACAGGAAAACCAAAACCAATTAACAAGCCAAGACAAAAAAAATACAAAAACACTGACAAAGAATGATAACATCAATTAGCAATGAGGCAGTAAGAAGGACAGAAAAAGTAGAAAACAAATCATAATTAATAGATCGAAAAGGATTTGGTTGTTTAGAGTTCTACTTCACAAGGGACCCTTTGGAAACTCTTGGCTTTAGAGAAATGCAGCAAGACAGGAGAACAAAATATCCTCAAAACTCGATGCTTGGATTTCCACGACCCAACTTTGAACCTTATCCTTGCCCTCACCAACACATCTAACTCAATATCCCCTGAGGATTTCTCAAGCTTAAGGTCCTTAGGCACGGACTCATACAGGGCCACTGTTTGGGCCGTCAGGCCCACGTGCAGCCTGGTGACATTTTTATGTGACTGGAAGAATGGCTGAACAGCATTGGTGGCAAGAGTTTGGTCCTCATAACGCACTGACACCTCGACACTGTCATAGTATATGGAGACTCTAGAATTTGGGTTGTATGATCTTATAGTGAAATCGAAGTTTGCATAGAGGTGGTTTGCATCCGTCAAGTTGAAGTTGTGGATTGCAGCATTCTCCACACTGTACTCCAACTTTTTAGGCTTCAAAACCAACCAAACTATGATCACGGCTATACCCACAAGGATGATCAAGGCCAGTATTACCATCGCTAGGTAACGGAGAAGGTTTGAACGTTTTTGCTTGCTTCCTTCTGCAGGCTGTGAGGTAGGATGAGCCATTTCAAAAACTCTTCAATGAAGGTATGGTGTTTGATGGAAGAAGCCTGTGAAATGGTGCCGCTTATATATTGCTGCCAACTGATGAAGGATAACATTGGACCTACCTGTTTCTGAAACTTTTATTTAATTTCTACTTTTATCACTTTCAGAATTTCGTGCATGAAACTCAAGACATCTATGGGATTCGTCGTCCAATGATTTTGTTCCTTTCTTGAGATTCAAGTGTCAAGTTACAAATAGTAACATACAATCGCAAGTAATGTAGCTGTCGGTATAAAGTGTCGCTTATACAAAATTTTGCAATAAAACATCATTCACAGTGCTTTAAAAAAAGGTATTATTCAACACCAAAAGTTATGTGCAGGTATCATCTTTAATGTCATCGAATGTTTAAGTTGGAAAATTTACAAAAGTGATCGCGGATGATGATTTTTCTTTTGGAAAAATTATCCTACTAGTGTGCTTGAAAATTACATTTAATTACCACCTAAAACACACACTTATGCAGAGGAGTTCATTCTAAATCCTTAATAATAATAAACATATTTTATAAATAAAGAGAGAAATTTCACCAAACAATCCATTTTTGTAAATACAATGTCTATTATAAATTTATTGAGAGAGTTATCGATATTTACCACCTAATTGTGAAATAGGCCCTTAAACTGTTTTATTAGTTCTCAATTTTGCTGACAAATTTGGAATTAACAACGCTTTGTATTGGCTTAGAACAGCTGGGCCAGTAAACAAGCCAGATGTCCATATAATACCAGGCCGATTCGAGCATCCTGATTTTACTTGGGCCTTTTCAATTGGGCCATATGAAAATAGTACTAGGCCTTTACATTTCAACACGCATCTCAACTTTTATATATTCAAATTCTAATATTCATTTGTTTGTAAATAAATTTGTGATATATTTTTTTTAAAACTTATTTCCTTAACTTCTGAAAGCATTGAAAATGTCTGTTTAAAATTTTAAAAAAACGAATAATAATATTTGTGAGCAAATATTATAATTTATAAACATCAGACAAACAAAAATGAAAATGTTACCCCTATTGAGAGAGGATTCCTTGACTTAAATTGCGGTCTTTATTCTGTATTGTGAATATGTCCGTTGTAAAGGTTTCTTATGGTTCTCTTAGCCACACGGTATAACTGATGCTTTCCTTTGCTTATTCGGCTAAGCACCAACATCTATTATTTTAATAATATTAATAATGATATAACTTCATCGTAATATAGTACATATATTCAATCTTATTATGTGGTTGTCATGAGTCTATTTTAATGATCCAATATATATCTATAAAGGAAAAAGCTACGTGTTTAATAAAGAATTGTTTGCTTTAATATCATTGCAGCATATGGCATTAAACAAAAGATGCAACTTGCTATTCTCAAATCCATGTTTTATCATCTTATCTATATCCATTCTGTAGATACACTTGTGCTTTTGAAACAATTTTGCAGTTCTAATATTAAAAGCATAATTTAGAGAACAAGCCTTATAATGGGCAAAGAGTGAGAAAAAAATGATTCAGAAGTACCGTGATTTTTTTTACGGTTTCTTTTGCAGATTCGGACGAAGAAATTTAATTTCTAAGGTTTAAGAATCCGAATGCAAATTCAATGTCTTTGAAACTGTTTGAAGTGCCAAGAGCTTTCATGAGATATTGAAAGTGTCAGGAAATATACAATAAGATTGGTGCTGATTTTTTTTCTCTCCCATGAGGGTATAAAAACATCACCGTAAGGTATTCTCATGTCAGTTTTGCATCTGAAATAACTGTGATTAAGATAATCCTAATGTTTTTCTGTATAACGATTACTGGAATCAAAAGTAACTAAATTTTATAACAAGTGGTAAATGGTTGGATATCTTACTATTTGTGATAAATTATCTCTAAGAAACTTATGTTAAAGATTGTACAACAATAGACTCAAGCAATTATTCAGGTGAAAAAGGGACTGATTTCAATCAAGGTTGGAAATATGTTACAGGTTTAGCAGTTTTGGCTTCTGACTGTTCATCTTATATTGAACCGCCAATATTGACTACTTACTTTATTTTCTACAATTTGACGTCTGATCCATTGTCATTTTCTCTTTCCAAAGGCTTCTATTGTACAGTGATTTTTATTCTAGAATTTTCATCATCCGCTTTTATCCATAATTAAGCACTACTGCCAGATAGTTTATTAAAGGCCATCATTAAAGGATTACTGTTATATTGAATGTTTGATTATCTAGAAAATAAGACTGGCAGTGGATAAACATAACTCAATAAACATCAGCATATATAATGGCATCAATTTTCACAGTGAAAATTATTCTATATTGTTATCTCCCTTGGATATCAGTAAGAGTTACATGGTTGTTGGAGTTACAATTATTTTCTTGAGAAGAAGACTCTAAACTTGATGAACTTTGCTTCTGAACAAATGCAACTTGCCTAGGAGGAGGTAGATGGGAAATCTCACTGTTAAGCATTGAGAGCACAGTAGTCATAGTTGGTCTAGTTTTTGCAACTTCTTGCACACAAAGAAATGCAATGTGGATGCACCTCAAAATATGATTCTCAGATCCTGAAGCTGATATCTCTGGATCAACCAAAAGCCTAATATTGTCTTCGTTCCATAGATTCCACGCCTAAGTAAAAATGAATTGAAATATTAGCAAGCAAACAAAGGCTATATGCAAATAAGAAGGCCGTGAGGTGGGAAGAGACTTACATATCCTATAAGGCTGAGAGACTGGTCATCATTTCGAAAACTAGTGTTCCTTTTTCCACTGATAATCTCTAGTAGCAAAACTCCGAAGCTATACACATCTGATTTCTCAGAAAACAATCCTTCCATAGCATATTCAGGGGACATGTAGCCACTATTTATTTATTCACATCACATAAAAGTTAATTCTCAAAGTAAACTTTATGTTAATAATATAAGTACAGTAAAGCATACTTACTATGTGCCAACAACCCTCTTGGTATTAACTTCATCCTCGCCTTTGTATATTCTAGCCAAACCAAAGTCTGATATTTTGGGATTCATATCTGCATCTAGTAAGATATTGCTTGCCTTCAGATCTCTATGTATAATTTTTAATCTAGAATCCCTATGGAGATAGAGTAAGCCCCGAGCAACTCCTTCAACTATAGTAAAACGTTTTGTCCAGTCTAGAAGTTTCCGCCGTAGTGGATCTGAAAATGAAAAAGAGATTTAGCCAAAATAGGTTAGCAGGAACTGAATAAATTGTCCATATTTTACCAACGTTGAGTGAGCTGAATGATTGGAAAGTGAAGTATATGGATGCATAAACTAACCAAAGATGAATGCATCCAAACTTTTATTTGGCATGAATTCATATATGAGCATCTTCTCGTCTCCTTCAATGCAGCAGCCAAGAAGTTTTACAAGATTGCGATGTTGAAGTTTAGAAATCACCATCACTTCATTCATAAATTCTTCTACACCTTGTCCAGATGCTCTTGAGAGTCTTTTCACAGCAATTTCTTGACCATCTGGCAGTAGTCCCTATTAAGAGAAATTGAGCAAAATTAAAACGGAAGTTTTAGAAATACTTGATATGAGTGTCACTAGTCAAAATATTACCTTGTACACTGGACCAAAACCACCCTTTCCAAGCGTATTAGCTAAGTGAAAACTGTTTGTAGCATTTTCAACGACTTCAAATTCAAATAACGGTAGCTCATCCAGTTTTGCTGGTTTCTGGACCGCAGTTACTAAGTGTTTCTCACTTCCTGAACATGTTCCAAATGTATTAGATTTTGTACATGTTCAAGAGTCTACAATCTTAGACTTTCCGAATTAAGAGCTGTTGTAAATTGTTTTGTTTCAAATGGTTGACATCACAGATAGAAGCACATATAACAAAAGGAAGCACTATTTATTCTTCTTCGGTGTTAGTTTTCCTAGTTCTATTTTGTTTGTGTTTAAGGCTTGATTACCCGAATCTTTGGCAGTTCCCTTACGCGAGTGATGTCTACGAATGACTATATAAACACAGATGGCCACGATGATTGGTCCAGCAGTTGCCGCTGTAATTCCGATGATTAATTCCTTGGCTATTCTTTTATTAGTATGCTCTTGTGCATTACCTACAAAAGTTTAAAGAAAACACATTCAGAATCAGACAGACACGAACAATAAATGGGAATAATAGATTCTATAACTTGTTAAGAATAAACATAAACAAAGAACAATAAAAATATCATACTGGATTGAAATTCTGAATTGGCGAGACGGATGTAGAGATCAATGCCTGCAGTTTGGAATTTTTGCAAGTCAATTAAGTCTCTAGTCCAATACATGCATCCAATGCCAGCATCGTATGCATATGCCAAACAAGAGCAATTCTTCAAGCACTGTGTTCCACACTGACCTTCCTCAACATCTAATCTCTCTGCAAAATCTGGTACTTTCATTGTTTCAAGTTTCAAAAATCTATCTTCTTGTGCAGCTTCACTCCCCCCATTGTTAAGCCTCTGACACTGGAGTGGCACCTTTCTGACACACCCACTAGTCCAATTTTTCTTTCTCCACTCCTCTTGATTCCTGGCCTCAAATCCACTCAAACAGCTACATATTGGTGAACTCTGCCCATTACAGCTTCCGAATGCCCCACATGTGCCATAAACATCGCAATCAGAAATTCCCAGATCCAAAGTCAACCCTTTCTTATTGTTATAATACCTTACCAATTTAATCTTTCCTTCTGGAGACAGGGTAAGGATTCCAAATGAAGATGGGTCAGCAAAACTGTAAGTCAGATAAACAATATCATTTCCTTCATATCCTACACTCCATCCATAAAGATACCCAGTTGACATCAATGGTGTCCCAATGAAGATTCTACCATTCCATGGGCCAGTCCTCCAATAAGGCCGAGTTCCATTAATCCATAGAAACACCTCCGGAGCATCCAAACGCTCAAGAGAAGCAGAGAAATAGCCAGTAGAAGGATCGGAAGCACTTTTCCTTGACACAAACTGTATTTTCTCACCTGTGACTTTGTTAGCACTGATCTTCATGGTTGGCACTGCTGCATCGCAAGGATGCTCGAAACTCTCCCATATGGTCCGTCCCGTGGAGTCGTCTTTGAGCATTAGATTCCCATAACGGGAAATTTGAGCAGTGGCGTTCGTTGTTGCAGTGTTGGACACATTGGACGACCAAATTACATGGTTTTTTCCATCAACTAGAACCAGGTTACCATCTTTGGAGATTTTGAAAACCCCAGAAGAATCAAGGAGCGGTTGGTCTCTATTAGCTATCCATATGACGTTGGAGTCAGAGAGGTACCAGATTCCTACGTAGCGGTGCGTTGAATTCTGAGGACTGAAGAAACCAAGTACGAAGACACTGTCGTTCGAGGTTACTATCTCTGAGTCTCTTATGGATTGAGAATATGTAAGGGTGTCCCTGGCAGAGGTCAAACCCAGGAAAATGATGCAAAAGACCATGAACGAAGCATTTAGCAAACAAGTGTAACTTGGGAAAACCATAATATCAGTGCTCAGCACTTAGTGTGCAGAACTCGGAATTTAATGCTTGTACAATCCTACTCCGTGATTCAATAGAAAATCCTGTTTGACTATGCATTATGGTTTGCTGTCTCTTCAACAGAGGGCTGAATTAGTGAGGTAACTTATTACTTTTTGTTAACAAAAATGAAAACTATACCACAAATCATAGTAGTATATATTAATCTATATCGACTTATTTCATATTATAACTAAAAATATGGAGTTGAAGTCTTAATGGTTGAAGCAGAAGTGCCTCAAATTCTTGTATTAGTATTATTATTATATTTTTGTCATACTCAGCATTTAGTTGACTCACAATGCTCCCATTCAGCAGATGAAATGCTACTTCCCTTTTTCTATTAATTTTGTAGAGGGGTTGCCCAGAAAATACGTTTTAGTTAAAATATTTTATGATCCTTAGATTCAAACTTATGATCTTAAGTACAGTTTTTTAAATAAAAATATGCTAAAGTATTCTCCTTTGAGATTCTATTCACTAAATAATCACATAACATTATAACATGATTTTTTTCTTAATTCATTCAGTTCATATATCTGGCTTTCCTATACATTATGCTAAAGGAAGTTTCTAAGAAATTGCCAGTAAGACTGAGGTAGTGGAATTTGTTCTATTGATTATGTTTTATTTTCGTGGATTGCGCTCCAATTGGTAATACTATATCATTTAAGGGTCTAAACAGATTAATGATTTACTGGTAATGAGAGAAAGTTCCAAATCTAGAATACCGTTTTTCAGAAAAAGAACATGAAAACGCGTCCTGCAATAGAATATAAAATTTTAGAAGCCGCAGTTGTTGACTGAGGGTAGAATCAAAACCGCATTGTGTTGAATGTTTGTATAGCAAATTTCAGGAACCAAATTTAAGTATACCGTTTTTGTTCCTTTGTTTTATAATTTTATATCAGTAATATAATGTGTTCAAGAAAAGCCAATGTTGATTATTGAAATAAAACCTTATTTAAGATATTATAATCAAATCTTATTCAAAATAAAACAATAATGATATTATTTCATGAAGAATGGCCTGAGCTTTGATGCAAGGTTTGTAATGATATTCTTTTTAATGTTTATATTTCTAAAACATATTTTAAAATAAATAAGCTCACGAGCGATATAATAGATGCAAAATGAGTGGTTATTATTTAATAATTTATTACTCATTTTTATCGTGTAAATCTACATATGATCTATGATAATTCAATATTTTGTTTACTATGATTTTATCAGGTTGTTAATTAATATTTTATGTTAAAAATTGTATTTAATCATTTTAAATTTATTCCTGTTCCAGACAAACACTGTGTAAACCATTAAAACAACCCATGAAGCACTTTTAATGGTCTTAATCAAATGACATAGCAAACGACCCTGTGGCCTCTGAGCTTATATATTTATTTTGCAATTCAAATACTAATGGAGGGCAGACAACCTTCTTCTTCCACCTTCGTACTTTCATCTGGATTCCCATAATTTCATCTGGATCCCCATAAATTTGTAATTCAAAATATAAATTTTACAATTTAGATATATAATTTGAAATTTATTTTTTATTTTGTATTTCAGATTATATAATTTAGAATAATTTTTATATTCTAAAATAAATAATTTAAAATATAAAAATTATGTTTTAAATTATATTATATTTTAGAATATATAATCTGAAATAAAAATAATGTATTTCAAATTATACATTTCAAAATAAAAAAAGTATACGGAATGAAATTATGATGATGCAGGAAGAAGCTGCCCGGAAGGCAATAGAACATGTGTACGATATTCAGCCAAAGCCCACATTGGAAAAACATTTCTATAAAAAGGGTAATGGACCAAGCAATTCCTCAAGTACACTCCAAGAGTTTCCTGCCATAAAAATCACAAAAAAAAATTTTAAAAAAAAATCATTCTAATTTTATCCATTTCAAAACAAATACAAAACACAACCAAATTGAACAATGTTATTTCAGACAACTTTTATTTTTTCTTTTAAATTTAACAAGGTTATAGAGAGAGTTTATGATTTGAAATATACTTGTTGGGGCCAATCACCATCTTCTAACTGAGAATTGATTAGTAATTTTGCTGCACGATGAAGGGGATTTGGGTCTCTTTCAGCCTACATACAAAATTTTCAAAATGAAATTTTGATATTTAATTTGAAGACATTGATATATATATATATACAGATGCAGATGAGAAATGTACCTGCCGAGAAAGAATTAGAGCCATGAGAGCCCAAGATGTCTGCACAAGATTTGATCGACCTCCTTCAAGAGGTACATACTCCTTAATCATATATAAAAAATTATTCATTAAAACATTGTTAATAAGTTATTAGCATTGTTTATAATTAACATAAACGATTATTTAATCACAAACCTTCCTTGGGCAAGAAAGGTAACTCTCTCCCCATCCACCATCCTCGTTTTGTATTTTAAGTAGAAATTCCACATTTTTACGAATAGCAACACAGTTTTTGTAACTTTTTCCGGCAGCAACTAAACCTCGGAGTGCAAACATAGAACAGTAAGTGAAGCAAACTGCCCAATTCCCGTACCAAGAACCATCTTCTAATTGTGAATCTTCAATGAATGTTACAGCTTTACCGATGAAATTCTCAATCTCTTCCTTCCTATGCTCTGGATAGAGCTTTTTGAACAACACTAAAACTTCAATCGATGATGCAGTGCATTCAACGTACTCATGCTCAACTACTATGTCAGCAAAGAATTCCGTAGGATTCAGTAGCTAGTAAGTAAGTAATAACCAAGTTAATTAATTAATCCATTGTTAATATTGAATGTCTACACATTGCAACATTAATTAATATAACACTTACTTCTAACCATTCCTGAGCTCTTGCTGGCTCCCATGCAGGTATACCTCCGTTTGCACTCTATAGTGATTAAAGTAACTTTCAAGTTTTATAACAAATAGCATTGACAGTATAAAATAAATAAATAAATAATTAAAAAAGGATCATCGATTGCCTAATCAATCAATTCAAAGCATGTCACAAAAAGTTCAATGATACTCACCTGCAGTGACAGTATCAGAGCGACTGAATCATGTATCTTTTGAAGTTCCATTTTTTCTCCCACAATCTCTTGTGGCAACACTGATAAAAGTAAACAACACTGAAACGTAGGATAGTTAATTTGTTAGGTTAAGATGTGTATTTGTTTTGTACACGAAACTTTTTAACAAAACTAAAAATTAGGTGACCTTAATTATAAGTACTAATTAATATTACCTTTAAACATTCTGCAGTGGTGTCAGAAACTTGCCATGCTTGGTCTCTATCTGCCAGTGCCCATGACCCTTTACAAATATAACGATACATACTCTTAAAATCTCCTGATGGATTTTCCGTTACCTATAAAATTAGAATGTCAACATTTTTTTGTGCTGGATAAAACTAATATTGAACGAAAACATTTGTTTTGAAATTATCTACAATTTTATTATTAATTAGTTATCGATTACGTAATAGCTTGAATCAGGTTATTGCTAGTCATGATTTCAATGAAAACTATAGGTCCAAAATAACTTGTTAAGTGAATTATAAACCTTATATCTTAAAAGTCCATGATTAAGTTAAATTTTTTAAAATTTATTTCTTAATAAATTAGACATTAATAATAGATGATGTTTGTAAACGTAAGAGCTTTCTTCCTCAACTTGATATACGTAATTGTAACCTGAGATTTCTTGATGAAATCGTGTGCTTTTGCAAGTGTGGGACCTAAATCATCTACTAGGTTAGTGGCCAGTAGAGCTTGAACAATGAAACCAGCATCCCATGACTGGGTTCCAATTCCCTGCATTATATATATAAACAAATGGATTAATCAGTTTAATTATCATACATTTTTTTACCATTATCAACCATCTTAGCTACTAAATAATAAGGTATGAACTAATTTTTATTAAAAAGTGACAACACCTTTACTAATAAAATTGGTAATCCAATATATTTACCTGCATGGTCATTCCATCTTCTGAAATCCATAAACAATCTGGGATCCTTGCAAGATGCTTTTTGAAAGCATCTCCATTTGGATCTTCTACCCAGCAAGCAAGCATGCATAAAACCTATAAAATATAAGCACGACGGTGACCTTTTAATGAATTCCGGATAAAAACTATAAAAACGTTATTTTAAATACTATCATATTAAAAACGATGATGTTTACCTTTTCCACACATCCAATAGCAATATATCGACTGTTTTCATCTTCATAGTGGATATGTTTCATTGTTACTTCAAGTGCTTTTTCTCTCTCTAACTTGTTCAAAGGCCATCGATTTAGAAGTGGTTCGGTGAATACATATAAACTATCCCATATTAGATCTTGTATCCAATGATGAGGATAGTAAAGATCTTCCTGTAATTCGTAAAAAATGTAAAATAACATATATATACATATTAATTGCAATTAATAATTAATTTATCCGTGTGTAATGAATTAGAGTTCATTCCTTAATTAATAAATAATTTTGTTTTTATATTCCTAAATATAAAATTATCTACACAACGTACACTGCTGATTGATAATTATCTTACTTTTGCACATGTATGACGTGCTTTCCTCCAAGTATTTTTATCGTAGGGTTCAACAAAAAGCTCTTCTCTCAAATTTGCTACCAACGGTGTGATTGGAGCCATGAATCTCTTTCCATATAAATAAGACATGGGCATGTATACCAATCGACAATAACACCACATTTTACCTGTATCAGTGAGATAAAATAAATACCGAATTTAACAACTGGATATGTTATATTCCAGAAATAGTAAGAAATAAAAATGAATTAATTAATTAATTTAACCCGGATGCATAGGAAGAAAAGAAGGAAGGATCCAAAATTCTGGAGGCATTGGGTTGCTTCCACACCAGTCAACTACACCAAGAACCTGTAAATACCTAATTAGTGAGGTTCATGCATATATATTTACGTATTTAAATGTCACAGAAAAATATTCATACTGAAAGCCAGAATTTCCCCCACGAAGGTATATGCGTTACACCACCATGATCGCGAATCCACTTTCTTGCATTAGCACAAGCATTGGGTTCTTCTCCGAGAATTCGCAGACATATATAATTAAGTGCAGTGCAAAACATGGTGC